CCCCACTGCACCAGGCCGTGCCTCTTCTCCCTCCACTCCCGTGAGTCAGGATCCCTTCGCCCTCCCCTCCCCCACCAGCCCAGGCCCCTTCTCCTTCCCACCCTCCATCCCCCAGCACCTTGGGACCTTTCTCTCACCCCCCAACTCTAGCTCTCCTCCTCCCAGCTGCAACACATGCCAGGCCCGTCTCTAAATCCAGGCGGCCAGGGAGGCACAGGTGTCCCTGCACACCCATTGTAGGCACAGTGAGGTACAGGTAGTGCCATGTGCACACTTTGCTCTGGGTCACTGCAGCCTGCTGAGTTGGGGAAAGCAGCAGTGCAGGGAACGCTATCCCATCCTCTCCCGTTACCCAGGCTGGTGCTTTTAAAATGAAGTTTATGATTCAAAATGGAGTCTGCTGATCCCTTTTCACCTCAGCAGTGTCTCTTCCCACCACAAACACCCTGAAGAAGGCTTTGCACTCCACTCTCTGGCCTCTGCATACGGCTCTAAACCTGTGCACCCCTCACCAATCCAATGCCTCTCAGCCAGATTATGCACCCGGCACCCTTTTCCCTGTGTACACCACCCTACGCTGTTGCACCCCACTCACTAACCCAGTTTCCTGCATTACTGTCCTTATAAACCCTCCCCTAAGAATGGTTTGGGTTGGCTCTCCTCTATCCGTCCATTGGTCTTCATCAATCCACTTGTAGCTGTGTTATTGTTCATCTTCGTCTGTCAACCCTGAGGAGTGCCATCCACACATGGCCTGGCCAAGGCTGCTCACGTCCAGCACTAGTTGAACCCTCCCGTCTGTAAGGATTTTTGGGGACTGGTGATCCTGGACTCTGGGACTGTACCATCATCTTTTGCACCTACGGACCTCACCTACCCGAAGGATTGGTGATAAGGAATCCAGAGGGTGTCCACCACGTGGAGAGGCAAGGATCTACTTCGAGGACCTACTCAGGATCCAGAACTTATCGGGACCCCAAGGGATCTCTCTGCAGTCCTTCCTCAAGGCTTCCAATTAGCCATGAGGTAGAAGGTCACAGGCATCCATCGCTGCCTTCAGTGTTTTAAGTATAACCCATTTTGTATACGGGATCTTTCCTATCTCCTTTTCTTCCAGGCTAGGGTGGGACATTTACTGTTTTCTTATTGACTGATACGTGTTCACATTCTTAAAATATATGGTTTGGCACTAAATTCTGTCTCTGACCTGATTTGTGACTAGCTGGTCACTGGTGATAGATACGGGTACCAGGTCAAATCTGGCTTCTGTGGGGGAGGCGCATTAGGCTTTAATTAAATTGCCCACAGCAATTGTTTACCTCAGCTCTTCCCTGTGCTGCTCACTACCCCAGGCCTGCCCACAGAGCCCAGGGCTGCCCATCCACCAGCCGGGAGCTGAAGGCAAAGACCATACACGTCTGAGCAGCAGCTCCCCTGTTTGGGGGTGCTCTGACAGCTGCAGTAAGTGCACCCACAGGGGAGGGGGTAAGTCTTCACAGGGGCAGCTGGACTCCAGGCAGTCGGGCACCACGCACCCAACTTCCCAAAAGCCTGGCAGCAGGGGAATCCCCAAGAGCCTTCTCCTAGCACATAAACCTGGCTGGAAGCCCCACTTCTAGTGCCTATCCCCATGCTGCTGTCCCAAGCACCATACCCTCCCCACCGCACCTGGGCTATCACAGCTGCCATGTGGTGTCTGCCAGCTACTGCGCCATGTTCCTTGGCATTGAAAGCCCTTGGGGTGAGGGTGGAAGAAGGGGAGTAGGGACTTGTTTTAAAATAACAATTCCAAGTGGCGCGGGGAAACAGCGAGGTCAGGCTTGAGCTGAGAGAGGGAAGGGGCAGATAGGACGCAGAGTGACGTGATGATCATATTTGTTCAAAGCATCATCTTTTTTTATATTTACTACTTTCTTCTCTGCCCTTCAAAGTACTAATGATTTTAATGACAATTTAAGAATCTTTCTTGCTTATGAGACTAACCTTAGACAGTTCTTTTGGGACAAGGTTATTATTTTTCAAATTCGTACAGCAAACTCAATAGGCCCTTAATTTAAGGTGTAACTGCAAAATAATGAATAATCATCACAATAATGGGAAAAAAACCAGTAGCTAATGGCTGATGGCTATGTCAAAATGAATTGAAAGAGGACTTCTCTTACAAGCAAGAAAAGCACAAACTAAACAACATATGGCATATTCCAGGAACAAAAACCCTATTGTTCAGAACTGAGGGAAAATGAGTCAACAGATGTTAAAGTAAGAAAGAAGGGTATGATCTTGCTCCCACTGAGGTTCGCGACACATCATTCAGTGACTTCAATAGAACAGAACTGACTGTGAAAGAGGAAAATGAGTCAAAAGGTATTTTTAATGTTCTTCTAATTTTGAAATAATTTCCCATTTCATACTCCCATTTTCATTGTTTTCTGTAAGCATCTCCTTTCTTCTCTGCCAATCTAAATTTTGGAATTTCCCTGTTATAGCTCAGGTAATAAGAAGTAACAGTGGAAGCCCCACTCCTAGTGACTACCTTACTAGTTATGTACAACAGCCTGAATATTGTTACAATATAATGTTGCCTAAATATTACAACAATATGTGAGTATAGTGCTTCATGGAGAAAAGGGAACAGTCATTACCTTAAAACAAGTAAAAATCTAAATTTGACCACCAAGAATTAAAATTGGTCAAAGAAAGAAGAGGAACAGGATGAGAGGCAAGGGATACAAATTACTCATATTTGTATATTATGTTATATTCATGCATTTTATGAATCAGAATATTTAACTTAAAAACGGGCAAGGAAAGAAGTCAGAAGAATGCCTTGATTTAGAGATTAACAGTAGAAAGCTAACAAAAATAACTGAATTTTGAAAGAAAATTGTAATCAGTCCCAGTGACTTGATTTTTAGGAAGAAAAAAGATTCTCTATGTTTGGAGACAGGCAATGTGTAAAAAGATACCAAGTGGAAGAATAAAGAAGGAAACTAAGTATAAAATGTAGAACTAAAATAAGGAGTAGAAGAAAAAGACAGGTAATCAAAAGCAAGGACAGAAACAAAGCAAACAATACTCTCTTTAAGTTATTAGAAAGCTTGTCTGAGTTGACTATCATCAACTCCTGCTAATTTTGAGTTGCCATTTTTAATTTTGAGCCTCTTAATTGTACAGATTGCCTTGTTAATTAGGGTACCATGTAAACCAGTGATAATCAAACTTTTGGGCCCATGGCCCATTCTGCTGAATGCAAACTTTTCCACAGACAACCAGCCCACCACCCATTATGACAAAATGAGTGCAGAAAGGGATGGGGATGCAAGGTCTGGGTGGGAGAGAGAGAGGGTGCAGGAATGGGCTAGGGGTGGAGAGTCTGGGTGGAAGGAGTACATGATGGTGATGGGGGTTGCGGATTGGGCATGAGCGGGATGGGGGTGCTCATCTGTCTTAGTGCTCCTGGCTGCTCCCATTGTTGGGGATTCCAGCCAGTGGGAATAGCTGGGAAAGCCTCCATGCAAGCGGTTTCCAGGCACTGCCATTTCACCAGCCAGGGGAAGGGGGGAGCAGAAGTGTGCAAAGCCACATCCTGCCCCCATGAGCTGGATCTGGTTTGTGAGGCTTGGGGCTCCTCCTCTTCCCACCCCCACTGGGAAAGGCTGGCACCAGTGCTCAAACCTCGCAGGGTAGTATGGAGCTGGAATGCCCAAGTGGAATCCCCCTAGGGGTCAGAGCTCTCAGCCCATGGCCCACCTACAACACAATTGCTGATCACTAGTGATCCGTGGACCACACTTTGAGAATCACTCATGTAAACCAATGCACTCTGTCTTCCAATGTTGGCAAAAAGTCCCACTACTCCAAAATGAAGAGATGGAATGGAAAGGAGCAGAGGAAAGCCAAAAGTTAAATATGGTATACAAAAAACGGGACCTTTAGAAAGTTACAACTGCCAAGTTTCAATACTAAGCTCAATTATAATAATTTACCATTAAATATAGACAGGACTATAAACCATATACAACTATTTTGTCCTTTTTAAACTGCAAAAGGTGGATTTGAGAGGACAAGACAGCATGGGATTTCTCTGGTTAAGAAATCCCAGATATTAAGTAATTTTTCAAGTTCTGATAAAAGAGAATCAGGGCAAAAATTCAGCAAAAAAGAACTGAGATTTAAGGGGTTAAGTTATATATGGATAAAAGTAATAGTCCATAAAAGGGATTCTATTGAATGGTGAGACAGAAGGTGGTTTCAATTTTTCTAAAATGCTGAGACTGAAGAGGAACCAGCTGAGAAGACTGAAGAGAAAGAAGTTACATGGTTACAGTCAAAAAGACCACTGTAGCATGAACCTGAGCCATGGAGAGGAAAAGCTATTACTAACCTGTTCCTTAACTGATGTTTTCAATGATATTCTGTACACTTGTCACTCA